AGAGAGAGAGAGAGAGAGAGAGAGAGAGAGAGAGAGAGAGAGAGAGACTTTTCTATATTCAGCTCATAAAAAAGATGTACACGCCAGCCTCGGGTCACCGCTGCTTAAAAAGCAAACAAGTTGATAGCTGAGTGCCGGGGGTCTGGTTTCGGTTGTGAGCCCCACACAGAGGTTCATCTTTACGCTGGCTGAGACGTTCAAACCAGAGAAAGCACACAGGAGGAGAGCAGCAGCTCAGGCTGAGGCTTCATTTCCTCTTTCTGCTGTCTGACCAGCGGCTCGGTGACGGCCTGCTGTCAGTCCTACCAGCAAGGAGAGAGGAAATACATCATATCATCATAAAGAGTTATGGTACTGCTGGAAAAGATGTGCTGATAAATACACTTCATTTTAATAGCACATTTCAACAAGCAGCACAGTTTATATGCAATGAATGGAAACAAACGCCAACATATTAAAAAAACACTACAGTTTTGCATATTCAATTTGTTCTTCATCCGTAACATTCATGAAGAGTCTGTACATTTATATTTAACTGTTTAACTAGAAATAAGGACAAGAGAGCAATTTAATGAAGTCATGCTTTTTAACAAACATATGACAAGAGTTGTGACTGTTTGACCCTCAGGAGCTTCCATACTCTGAATACTGAACTAGAACCAAGTCTGATTTAAGTTTTATATACTTTTATATGTGTATATTAAGAGGATTAGCCCTAACAACCCTTTACATTAGCTCAGCTACCGTACGCTTAGATTCCCCGATGAGGCTACAGACCTGCGGCTCGGCGACAGCGGCGCTGCCCTCATGTACTTTGGGGGAGAATAGCTGAGCGAGCGGGAATCTCTCAGCGAGTCAGCGGGAACCCTCCGAGGAACGGCGGCGGGGCTGTGAGGAAAAACACAGCGGTACAGTTCATCATGTAATACACAATCAGATAAAAGAGGACTGCTTTTCACTTGTGAACCAGCAGTACTTCCACCCCGTCATGGAGGGATCCTGGAGACGCAGCACGAGAAGGTAAAAGCTGCTGACTCATGGCCAATCAATAAGGCCAACGATGGCACAGTTACACACACCATGAGGACTCCCGATTCAAAGCGTAGCTACAATTACCGGTCAAGATGCAGTTCACATCCACGTTTGTCCAAAACGTCTACACGTCATCATTTTATCCGACTAGACATTCGTCTGAAATTGTCATAAATAGCAAATCAGTTCTTGAGTTTGACAAAAAAGTGTGTTTTGTGAGGTCACGGTGATGTTTGACCATTAAACCCTAACGAGTCATCTCTGAACCCAAGCGGACGTTTGAGCCACACCTGAAGAACCTCTCTAGACGTACGTACAAATATATGTAGACGTAAGTCAGGACGCTAGAGCCATAACCAGCTTATTAAAACTATGCTTCCATCCGGTCATTTTGTAGTTTATTTATTGACACAATATATATTGTGATATGAAAAAAATACTACAATGCTACAAAACGAAGACAGGGTTTCTAAAGGACCTCAAACATGTCTTTGTTATTTCACTGATGAGCTAATATTGCCAGACTTATTTCATACAAACGTTTACACTTTGCAGAACTCTTTGTGCATCTGGCCACATGGACGTTACTCTGATTGGATTCATGCAGCAGAAAGACGTATTTCCATGTACAGCAGGTCTCATTGAACAGAAACAAAGCTCTTACCTCTTCTTCTTACTTTCCTTTTCATTCTCCGATGAGGATGATGAAGGAGAGCTTTGAGCTTTGACCGTCTTCCTGTTAAGAAAATGCACACAGTAACAGGGTAAATATTAATAACTAGCAAGTCATTTATGATTAATCACAGCGGTGCAAACTCATCAGGGCTGGAAAAGGTGACAAAGATGCTTTTATTTATTATTATTTGATATTAAAATAAGTTTCTTTATCTAATGTTCGTGTATTTCACACCTTCCCCCATCTCCTGCTTACCCTTTTCCTTGCTCCACCTCGGAGTCTGAGCTGTCTGACGAGGAGGATGAAGAGGAGGATGAAGAAGAGGATGAGGAGGAAGAAGAAGAGCTGGAGCTGCTGCTCCTAGTGGCCTTCTTGTTGGCGCTCGCCTCCTTCCCGTTCACGGCGCTCTCACTTCTGACCGGTTGTTCTGGAGGTTGAGGAGTCGTCACCGGCGACCGCTTCCTGCTCGGACCTCGTGATGAAGACGAAGGTTTGGTTTCTGGCGGGCCGGCGGCCGGAGGAGACCTTCTGGAGGGAACATCTGGGCACCTGGAGTCGGACTGGGAGCCCCTCCGACCTGAGGGGGGGGGCATGGGAGGAGTCTCTGGAAGGACCTCGTGAGGAGGAGGAAGGACCTTTCTGCTCTCGCTCCTCTCCCTTCTCCTTCTCCTCCTCCTTCTCCTCCTCCTCCTCCTCCTCCTCCTCCTCCGGTGGTGCTTTTGTGTCTTTCCTCTCTCGCTGTGGCGAAGGAGAGGAGGAAGAGGAAGAGGAGGAGCTGGAGGAGGAAGAGGAAGAGGAGGACCTGTGTGGTGGTGGTGGGGGGACATCTTTTGGGAGGAGAGGCTCCTTTACCCTCTCTCTCTCTTGTTCCACCTCCCTCTGCCTGGTCCTCTCGTGGTCCCTTTCTCTGGCTCTCTCTCTGGAGAGGGAGCGGCTGCTCCTCCTTCGTCTCTGAGGAGAGGGAGAGCGCCGAGACCTGGAGGAGAAAAACATTGAAGACAGTTGGTTTAGATGTCTCTGATCTCCTGGGTGCCTCTTCCACGGCTCGCAACGCACTTCTCTCACCATCCAAAATACCAAAAAGCTGAAGCTGAATGTGGACCGCCCCCAACTCAAAATCTTTCTTCAACATCATCATTAGAATCATTTGAGGTGAACTATAACATAAACATGGTTTTTGTTCATAAATGTATATTTATTCAAATCATTTTTATGTTAAACACATTTATCTATTTATCGTGTTTGATTTCTTTTTGACGTTCTCAAAGCAGCTAAGTTAGATTGGAGGATATTTTAGTGTGAAGGATAACTGGTGAACAGAAACATGATTTCATCGCCAGCTGACTCTCTGTAAATACAAACGTCGGCTGCTGACTGGTTAGCTCGTGTTAGCGCTCCGTTCCCATCAAACAGTAACGTTAGCTAACTGGTAAGGTGAGGTCAGACACAATTTAAACAATAAAATAAAAATAAACAAGATAAATAATATCACAGTGCAGGAAGAGGCAAACCGCAAACTGGGCTTATCTGAAGCCTCGACCGATATATTATTAAACAATTTACAATATTACAGAGAACATAAAATCATACCTGTTGGGGGGGCTTTGCCTCCTCGGACTTCTAGACCTGGACCTGTTGCGTCTTCTTGGGCTTCTGGACCTGGCCCTACCGGCAACCCGCTCACGTTCTCTGGCTCTCTCCCTGTCTCTCTCTCTGTCTCTCTCCCTCTCTCTGTCTCTCTGCCTCTCCCTCTCTCTGTCTGACCAGGCCGGAGGAGGAGAAGGTCTCCTGGATCTGGGCGGTGGTTCCTGATACTGCCTCGGTGGAGTGCGACGTGCTGGGGAGGCGGGTTTTTTGGGCGGAGAGCGTGACCTCCTGGCTGAGGAGCTGGACCTTGCAGGCCTCCTGGACGAGGAGCTGGAACTTGCAGGCCTCCTGGACGAGGAGCTGGAACTTGCAGGCCTCCTGGCTTTGGCCTCCACCCTGGTCTTCTCCGCCTCGGCCTCAGAGGTGGAGGACCTGTTGCCGCCTCTGCAGACGTCTGCTCTGTTGGGTGGGGATGGAGGAGGACTGGGGCTGTCCATCTGTGTGGGGCTATAACGCTCCTGACCCTTTATGCTCTCTGCAGGAGCTCTTTCCTTCTCCCTTTTGTCTCCCCCTCCTCCCCCGTCTCTCTCTCTCCGAGCTCGTCGAGGCCCGTCGCCCTCAGAAGCAGAGACGGGGCTTTCTTTTCTGCCGTTGGCTAAATACCTTTCAACTGCAGCTCCAATGGCGGACGGTGCACTTTTCAAGGGGCTACTTTTTTCCACTCCTTCTGACCCATCCTTCTTGTTCTTGCCCTCATCTTCAGAGGACGAGGATGAAGAGGAAGATGAGGAGGAGGAGCTATCACTGTCACTATCGCTGCTGCTGCTGCTGCCACTGCTGCTACTACTACTACTACCACTGCTGCTGCTGCTCTCTCGTTTCTTCTCAGCCTGCTTCTCCTTGTCCTCACGTTTCTCCTTCCTCAGAGGGCTCCTTGTCTTCTCCGGCCTCTCCTTCGTTTCTGGTCTGACGCTCCCTCCTTTCTCTGCGGGTCTCGATCCATCCCGCCTACTTTCTGCAGTGGACCAGACATCCTCGTCTCTCTTCCGGCTGCCTTCTTGAGCTCGCTCTCTGTCTTGTTCCCTCTGCTTGGTCGGATGCCGGTCCTTCTCCTTGATGCTCTCGCTCTCTTTTCCTCTCCTCCTCTCGTCGTCCCTCCCTCTCTGACGTCCGTTGGTGACAGGTGAGCGGGAGGCAGGTGAGGTCTGTCCTCCATCCCTCCTCCTGTCGTGTTTCTGTTGAGGAGGAGACGCCTCTTTCTCCTGTCTCTTACCGACGTCTCTCCTGGTGTCCATTTCATTTGTCGCCCTGGAGTCTGGACCTCTCTCAGTCCAGCGCTCCCTCTCGCCACTCCTCTCTCTCCTAGCTCTCTCCTTCACAGGGGGAGGCGAGGGGGATGAGGAGTCATGTATCGTCTGTTTGTCCGGTTTATTCCTGTCTTTTTCCCGCTCAGTGTCTCTGCTCCTTTCCCTCCTAGTCTCCTGTTTGGGAGGAGAAGGAGAACGGGATGAAGAAGAGTCATGCCTGGTCCTCTGAGGAACACTCTCCTTTCCTTTGTCCCTCCTTTCTCTGCTCCTTGAACGCCTCCCTCTCTGATTTTCTCTGCTCCTTGAACGCCTCCCTCTCTCCCTCTCGTTGTCTCTGCTCCTCGATCGCCTTCCTTTCTCCATCTCTCTGCTTCGGGGGCTCCTTCCTCTCTCCTTCTCCTTTTCCATGCTCCTCGAACGCCTCCTTTTCTCCACCTCTCTGCTTCTGGAACGCCTCCCTTTCTTCCTCTCCCTGCTTTGTTCCGACGGTGGAGGTGGTGGAGGAGAAGGGGATGAAGAGTCATGTCTCCTCTTGGAGGTCTTCTCCATGTCACTCGGCCGCTCCTTTTCTCTCTCAAGATTGGGCCTCTTCTAGATGAGGGGAGATTTGTTGGTGTCATTTTATGTTCACGACAGAATGAATCAGGTTCAATCTAGTTTGAGATACTATGAGCAACAGAAGGTTTTTAAGTCTTCATTCTTACCCCGTCTCCTCCCTGATGAGGTGGTTTGCTCTCCTCGTATCCTCGTCTCCTTTCTGGTGATCTCCCCTGTCTTACTTCATCAGCGTTTCTTGCAGTTTGGTCCTGTTGACGTGATCTCAGTGGAGCTGGAGACTGGCTGTTGATACCAGCGACAACAAAGTTCAGTACGTTCAAACAAACTAGCCCAAAAATGTCTGAAGGCAACAGTGTTTATAGCTCCTCATCCTCATCTCCTCATACCTGTGAGCTGAGCTGGAGGAGGCGCTTCTGTGTCGCGCTGCCTTTGCTTTCGGAGGACTTGGACTTTGATTCTTCTTCGTTTTCTTCTTGGACTCCTGCTGCTTCTCATCTGAAGAACTTCGAGAGGATCAGAGGACACAGAACGTCACACATAATCCCGTTTATATTCAGTATGTTTGTTCTAAATGTATAACAGAAGCAGGTTTGGCGATTCTCCAATAAATACAATATTCAGGAAACATTTAGCATTTATAACAGCAGTTTTGGAGCTACAGCTTGAAGTCTCTTTCCAGTAAAACGTATTCACAGTATGAACTGTGCCAGAACGAGAACAAAGCAGCAATGCTCTGCTGGTTGCTTATGAGGAAAGACATGATTTAAAAACACCTACCTGTCGTCGTCGTCTTCTTCTGACATCTCACTGAAACACAAGATTTCCAGTCAACAATCACAGTCACACGTGAAATAATCAAATATATGCTCAGGATAGAGTGACGGAATACCGTTTCTTTTTCTTCTTTTTGGATTTCTTCTTCTCTCGTCGAGGAGACGGGGACTGACTCTCTGAGCTGCTGACAAAAAAAAAAATCATCTGTCAAGACCTTCTCTTCATTGTTGGGACGGTTTCTGCTCTCATCACCTTTATTCTCTCACCTGTCTCTGCTCTTGTTTTTCTTTTTCTTCTTCCGACTGCGCTTCTTGGGAGGAGAATCGGAATGATCTGAATCTTCCACCAACCTGAGAGAGCAAAGGCAGCAGACGTCGAGTCAGCGGCTGAAATTAGGCCGAGTGATGAGTGAACACGTCACACTCGCCGCATAACATTACTTTAAGAATATATTTTTTATATTTGCCATTCAGATATGATTTTTGGTACAGGCCAGGCATAAAGCTCTTTTTCACTGTATATTGAATGTTTGCTTTTTTTCTTTTTTCCACAAATGCTGGAAGATATTTACATTCTATTGCGCCATGTAGTCCAGCTCAGCTCCTTTGCCAGGTGGAAATGAAAAGCTGTGGGTGTGTGTGTTTGGTCCTGCTTACGTATATTTCTGCTGCCTCTCCCTCTCCAGGCGCTCCTGCTCTTTCTTCTCCTTCTCTCTCTCCTTGCGGTCGGCGTGGAAGGACGACCCGTCCACATAGTCGCTGGAGATGCCGAACGCAGCACGAAGACGGTCGTTCTTCTGCTGGTTGGCTGCAGCCAGAGCATGAGTCTCTGTGGCCCTGAGAGAAAATGAAGCACACGGCTTTGCATCACTGACATTGTGCAGTATGAACGATGCTGTCGCTACTTAATGTGGTACAGCACAACATTGGTGTTGCTGTGTCAGCCTGCAGGGTTTAATAATGACATTTTATGTTTCCTATATTTATTGTTCCCTGAAATGTCATATTTAAACAGGCTGTAACAGTATACTGTGAGGAACCAATACATAATGAAATAGTGATATTTGATCATTTTTAACAATAGATGGGTTCAACATTTTAACATTAAAATGTCTCAATATTTACATCCTGTCGTATTTGTTTCCACTAAAGACAGCTAACAAAGCATCACAGTGCAGCCAGTGATCTCTCACTAGTCACAAGAGCTTTGATTCAACCTAAATCACTGCTGTGTCTTTTTTCTTTTCTTTATAATTAGAGACCCATGAAATCTGTTTTTCTTTCACGTACGTTGGTCTGTCAGCGGTGACGGGAGCCGGCTCCTCCTTCTCCTGGAGCATCATACGGAAAGTGTTCACCTTCTCCTCGATTTCCTCAGCTGAATACCTGACCACCCCAACAGAGAGCAGCATTACATTATGTACGATATTACTTAACACAAATAAAAAGCAACAACCTTTCACTTATTCTTATTTCTCTGCCACTGTAGCGAGTTACTGTCTACTGGAGGTTCTTGTTCTACAGTATACTACAACACTTCTGTACGATCAGTACGATATGGATTAATAAATCTATCTACATCTAAATAAACCAGTCACACAGTTGTACAATACTTATGGAAAATCAGATTCATTAATCAGTAATGAAAACAGCTTACAGTGGACCTGGGTTGAAACATTATTAAACTATGCAGTCTGGATATATCATTTAGAAGAACCTACACAGATCATGGCAAGCAGCAGGGCTTCATTTATTTCACGTGTGATTAGAACTCCACTCATGTCAGTAGTCCAGAGACCTGATGCAACACAGCATCCGTCTTACCCCTGCTCCTCCATCATGTCCTGCAGCTCGGCACACTTGACCTCCAGCTGCCTCTTGCGTTGGTGCTCCAGGATGTCGGCGTTGGGCTGTCTGTTGAGCTGGCTCTCCAGCCTCTCCCGGTCCTTCTCGTCCCGCTCGCCGCCGCGCTCGTCCCGCGGCCGCTTGACTCGCAGGCTGGACAGGTTGCGCTGCACATAGCCATTCGTGCCGCTGCCCCGCGGAGTTGTCAGGCCAATCCCATTGTACATGGCTCTGTAGAACATGAAGATGGGTAATAGTATTTAGTTTACTTGATATGGACATCACAGTAGCACTAGACTTGTAACATACATTTATGCACAAGGACCAGATGCACTGTGTTTAGTATTAGTAGCGAAACACTAATTTACAACACATGTCCACAGCAGGCTATTCTAACACAGTTAAATAGTAAATAAGAAAGAAGAAACACATTCATAAAGATACATACACAAAATACAGGCGTGACTACAGTGTTTCTCTTATAGCAATGATGTAATACCTCATTTAAAAACAGTAACATTGGGGTACATTTTGTAGACAGTTCCATAGTTCGGCTCCGACAACAGAGAAGACTGATTGTCCAATTTAGATTTTGCATCATGCAACAAAGGCTCAATCATTCCTTCGTACTGAAAACAAAAGGGATTTAAATATTGTTGAATCAGCGTTATTCAGTAACAATCCCGTTTTTAGGGTGGAAGTGATCTCTGATGATGGTTCTGAGCATCGAGAAAACGGTTCATAACACGGAGGGTTTCTGAGGCCCGCATTTGTCTTCCATACAGCCACAACGATATCCAAGCTCTTATTCTAACACACGTCTTTACGTGGACACGTCTCCAGAATACAAAGTACATAAACTAAGAACCAGTATCCTTGTCATAAAGCTAGATGACGTATTTTAACTCATTATTTATGCAGTAAGCAGCACGAGCCTCCGCAGTTTTGCCATTTTAAGCATTTTATTATACTGAGGGACTTTGTATTCTAAGATGGCTGACATAAACTAACCAGCAGTGATTCCACATCATTGACATGGATGCATTTTAAGTCCCTCACTGTATGAAGGTAGCTCACAAAAACATCATCAACAGTAACGTTAAGACAGTACAACACAAATAACTGAAACACAAAACAAATACAAATACAAATCCTTCAAATGTACAAAGTGTGTCAGGTTTCTCGCAACGTATCGTAGTTACTAAAAACATTGTGGAACATATGAAACATTTGGGTGAATTTGTTTGTATCTTGTCAACTCTAAATTTACATCCATCATCATACCTTTTGTTCAAAATAAAATTGATTTTGTGGCGCAATAACACGTGCGTCAGAATAGGCCTGTAGATATATGATGACTAAGGCTGAGACTAAACTTATCAATAAAACATTAAGACTCACTGGATGAGGAGAACGTGGCTGAAACTCACTGTTCTCATTTAAGTTTGATAAGCTACACGGTGAATTGTAATGCTACACGTTTAATAAAAAAAAGGCCCAAAACCACACTTATGCGCAGCGAACAATTCCCATCTTAAGCTAGCAAGCTAACGTATTTGTTACGTACCAGCTGTTTTCTCCGGGAGCGGAGAGAAAGAAAACGGTGTCGGACGGATAATCGTCGATAAATAATATCCCGTTTAAACAGACCGTGTAATAACCGTGGAAAAGTAAAAGAAATACGGCTAAACGTTAGTTAGCTATTAGCTAACTAGCTAGCTTGGTCTGATCTCGGAACCTAAAGGGAGAACGAGATGAAAACCGGATGACGTCATACGCACGTTCAAACTGCGATGCGTTCAGGTGTCGGAGGGAAAAAAGGTTTTCATTTTAACCACATAAAAAAGAAGCGACATGGAAATAAGGACTTGGAATGAGAAATGATTATTTTTGCTTAGGAGTGGATATTGTTAATGCAAATGTTGCCACATTTGTCACTGTAATAGTTATCATAATAATACTCATTATTATTATTATTATTATTATGATAATTATAACACTCATGTTATGTATAAACATTTTGATAATAGTGATTGTCATCATCAATGATGTTATCATCATTGTTGTTAAAGAATCTATTATTGAAGGAAAAAGGACAAAAACAGAATGTTGTGTTTTTGTTGTTGGAGCTGGACTTTGCAAAACAAAGAATCGAGAGACATCTTTAAATGTAGAAGTTATTTTAAGTTCTCAGAGTAAATATTGTATTTACAAATTGTGTTTGATGACATTTTACAGTTTTTGGAGGTTAAAGTTGAAACGGGAAGAGTGTGATGTATTTGAACAAAAAACTAACAACAAACAAAAATGATGAAGTGCAACAAAAAGTGAGTCCTATATGAACTAAAGACCAACAGAAACAGACTTTAGTGGTTCTCAAGATTCCCACAGACTGTAATTTAAGAAGGTTCACCTTGTTGAGAAAGACGACCCCCTGTGGCCAATGAGAGAACTGCTATTCATTCTTGCTGATAAATATAAAGGAAGACTGAAACACAAATAATATGCTTTTACAAACATGGTTCAAGAGTCAAAACTTTTTCTAAATCAGTCCAAAATACCCTTAAGTTCATTTGTTTTGTTGCATTGTATTACAATTAAAATAGCAGACTAAGAATGCTTTAATACGGTTAATTGTCCTGTCTATTCTTTACCAGCATTGTTGTCCTTATTTTAGCTGAATGTGTTGTGTTCCATTAAATGATTTTATTATTATTATCTAAAGGTGGGATATTTATGGAAGCCCATTTCCGCCAGCCAAAAAATAAATAAAAAGGTAACAAAAAAAATAATAAAATCCACCCCCCGAAAAAAACAAAAGATTTACATTTTTTTTTGTTGGCGGAAAAAAGAGAAGAAGAAAAAAAATTGATGATTATTTATTTTATTTTTTTAACTTTTTTTCTGGCAGCAAAATAAAAAATAAAAAAAAAAGTTCCAGTTGCTGTTTATTGAAGGTCGTCACCTCAGCCATATTGGTTTTATTCTTTATACTCCAGAGCTGCTTCTTGCTTAAAATTCTATTCAAGGGTGTGTTTGCTCAGTACAATCCATGTGAAACATCAAGCAATTTAAGTATTTCATCTGTTGTAAAGCCACGTTTAAAGAAGTCTTCAATGTACTCACAATCCATTTATATGTCAAATATAGGGTAACCTATGAAGAGCTGCTTCTGTGACTCATCATTTAGCCTTTCTATAGCAACTGGAAACATCTAGTCAGTGTTATGGTTACAGATGGATGCACCAAAACACCAAAAGTGTTGGTGCATTATTTATTTTATTTTTTATGCTGGTGGAAAAAAAGCAAAAACTTTTTACTTTTTTCCGCCAGCATAAAAAAAATAATAATAATAATTTTTCTTTTTTTTTTTGTGACCTTTTTTTTTTTTTGCTGGCAGAAATGGGCTTCCATAGGTAATACTGCCGTAGAGAAACATGTACCATCTAAATAAACCCTGCTATCCATAAGGTGCATCGAGAATGGAACACCTCACTTCCGCTTCGCATAAAGAAACACACACACACACACAGAACTACATTTCCCAGAATGCCCGGCGGCTGATTTTGACGCAAATTCGGACATAAATACATCCTGCTTATAATACAACCGTTAGTGACGCTGAAGCCAGTAAAGGAGGCGTGCTGTGCTGCTGCTCTGCGGGGCCGTTTATCTGGTGAAGAACACAACGAAGTCCACGATATAAACCGAACCGACGCAGACGATGGCTGAAGGCGACAACAAAAGCGCGAATATGCTCGTGAGTATTAAATAACCGCATTTTTAAGGGTGTGTTTTGTAACAGTAACGTTAGCATTGACTAGCTAACGTCAGCTAACGCTAGGTTAGCTTTGTCAGCTAGCCAGTTAGCTTAGCTAGTTTAATACGCCACTTGGCTCCAGAAGATTGGTTCCTCTTTGTAGCCGTTGCTAACGATAGCAGATGCTAACGCAGGTTTTAAAACTCCCAAAATCGAGTGCTGACGTATCTAGTTAGATGAAACGTGTGGTTGTCGTTGGCCATTTCCTTTTTTTAGTGTCGTGGAGGCACAGACTGCACAGTCATATCAGTAGAATCCCGTTATCAATGCCTTGCTTATCGACAAAGGCACCCACACCCTCCACTTGGGACATTCATTTCATTTAGAACACATTGTTACAAAGCACCTAAAACCTAAGAACAGACCGAAGTACAGCATAATTAAACTATTATCAAGGGTGAGAATTTAATTAATTTAAAAGACTTGAACTCATGCTTTGAATTATAAATGTTAGCGCCAATGCAAATTCGTCTTAAATTACCATTTCTTAATAAAGACTACAAGGTGAATTAGTTAAATAGAGTTAATATTGCAAAGGAATGATTTCACATCCAGACTCAAAGTTGCTCGAAAGAAGCTGCCGTCCTTGGCTTCTCTAGATATTTCCCTGTTCACTCTGATATTATAGATTTTATTATCAGTCGTGTGGATGTTGGTTTAGTAACGTGTATACTTGTGTGTTCAGGCTCAGGAGACGGCCCATCTGGAGGAGCAGCTGCAGGGCTGGGGTGAGGTGATCCTGGCCGGGGATCGCGTCCTTCGCTGGGAGAAGCCCTGGTTCCCTGGAGCCCTGATTGGTGCCACCACCCTGCTCTTCATGTGAGCCCACTGCGTCACAGGGTTACACACATAGCTGTCATTGCCCCCCCCCCCAGCGAGACATATCTGTAACAAGTATCTACATTAACTGAGCTGCTCTGGTTCAGAGTCCTAAAACACATTTCAAAGGTCATGTGAGTGTTTCCGCATTTACAACACAAAGCCAGAAGAAGTAACCATGTAGATCAGAATTATTTCAATGAGCTTATGTGTAACATTCTTTTGTCAGAGTAATGCTTGAGTATTATTCTAGCAGTAGAATTCAGACTAGAACACTGCACTGCTTTCTGTTAGTTCCTGGGGGCCTTTTTGCTAACCCAATGCATTCCTCTTTAATGTTACCCGAATGCACCACCCTCCTCTAGCTCTGGTTCACAGTCTAATAAGCATTTATTGCATTTTCTTTGCAGATTTTTATTTAAAATATTGCAGCTCCAGCACACATGTGCATGAATCTCTTAATCACAACAAGCGGCTACATTGAAACAGGAGAAGATAATGTGAACAACACACTTCTGCAAGAAGCTCTTAGTTTGCATTTTAAATGAGACGGGTTCCTGACCTCGACTGGCGGCTCTGTCTTCCTCCGCCAGGCTGATTTACTACCTGGATCCGTCGGTGCTGACTGGGCTGTCCTGCGCCGTCATGCTGCTCTGCCTAGCAGACTACCTGGTGCCCACCCTCGCACCCAGGGTCTTCGGCTCCAATAAGTGGTGAGAGGATGAAAATTAAATGGGTTTTCAATTAGACCCAAAAATTGTGTTTATTTCATAAATCTAAAAATATTTTCCCTGTTTTGTGCTAGTTATGGATTTTCTTTTTGTATTGCACCTGAATATCAACACGAACCCTTCCTACACCTGATTGGACAAATGTGACACTCGCTGGCATGTTATTGTTCTTTGTGAACATCCTGGCAGCTGTCCACTGAATACTCCTGAGGAGTAAAATGGGCCAAACATGTTGCTTGTGCAATAGTTCATAGACATCTCAATAACTCATTCTTCTGTTTGCTTTCTTGTTGGTAGCCAGGGACTAAACCAATAACAGTGATATTACATTGGAACCAAAGCAGTTGGGAGATTTTCTGGCTTGCTGTGCTGAACCGAAGAGCCTCTTGACTTTTAAGGGGAAAGGAGTTCTCTCTTTTTTGCCTAATAAGTACGGTGTCCAACCGCTTCATGGAGCTTTGACATTACACACTGAGCACTGAGCAGCTCCTTCTCTCAGCTGTGTGTGTTTGATGGTGACAACCAGACACCCAGCACAGGATAGAGTGACGGCCTGCAGTTGGCACAGTGTGTTGGACGTCTGTCCTCCACCGGACGCCTCCAGCGTCTCAATATATAACTCTGCATCAGCAGGCCATGACCCGGACATTCCACAGGCTGTTGGGTCAGATTAGTACCGACTGTTTTTAAAGACAAATGGTTCTCATGGTGTCACTTTGCATTTAGAGGTTTCTAAGTGGGGTTAACGGCACCAGCCTTCTGTCGTGGCTTATCTATGGAGGACTAATGAGTCGCACGCCTGGGTTTCAAAGGGCAGCTTTATATTTCTAGATGTAGGCCAGCAATGAGTGGCTATTTATCTGTGGATCTGCTCCAGATTCTCTGAGAACATGCCGTGTCGCTCCGGCTGCTGCTGAAGCTGCAGCAGAGTCAGCCAGATAGCAGACGTGTGTCGGTGAGGCCGGTTTAACGGGGCTATCGCAGTCTGTCTGGCTCCCTGACAACAAGGACCGAAATAGGGGACGATGGCTAAGCGGAAAATAAAGGCCACTTTTCCTAGCGGCGTCCTCCAGTCGGGTCCTTCAGTGTTGAATCCTTGTAGTCTCACATCACTGTAACAGGCACAGGATGTTTCCTGGCCTGGCTGCAGTTCAATCTCTAGTGAAATGGGGGAAAAATGCACATAAAGTTCCAACCCTGAACTCCAAAATAAGCAGTTTAATATAATAAAAGAATAACTTTCACTTTTGAGGAGTCGGGGTGATTGTTTTTGCTTGAAGAGACGTTTGTTATTTAATTTTCTGTTCTCTAAAGTAGATTACACGTAGTGAGCAGTCATTAAACCTCGGAGTTCTTTTCTTTATCGGGTTATAAAGGTTCTAGCTCTACAGTCATGAATAACGCAACACTTGCTTGTCAAAGAGCTACGAGCTGTCATGATGTGACAAACCACAGTGAACTTATCTGCTTCCTCCTGATGAACAGATTAAGAGGTCTTGTTGGTTTCGTTTTGTTTGCTTTAACTGAACAAAGCCTCCACCAGGAACCAGTCAGTTTAGTGTTTTTGTTCACGACCTCTCCTCCTGAACAGGACCACCGAGCAGCAGCAGCGCTTCCATGAGATCTGCGGTAACCTGGTGAAGACTCAGCGTCGCATCGTGGGCTGGTGGAAGCGTCTCTGCACTCTCAAGGAGGAGAAGCCCAAAATGGTAGATGACAAAATACAAGTTTAATCACATGCTTATCTCAGCCACACAGAAGCTGAATGTGTCACAAAATGTTGTCTCTAACACGCTGTAGACGTCAGCCTGCAGTGCTGCATGCTGCAGTAAATGGAGCCTTCAATCTGTTGGTTACAGTAAGATGTCTCTGTGCTCCAGATAAAACATCCTCAGCTGACTTGGCTTTGCTGCTCCACTTAGACCTCAAACTGGGTTACAGGCTGTGATAACCGGGTTTTTCCACAGCGTGCTTTAACACCGTTAGACACACTGTTAAATCACATTGCTTTCATTCAATAACCGCTTTGTTGTCGTCAAAAATGGCCGCGTATGTTCTGCTGATTTAAAAAAGACATCGAGTTATATTTCAGCTCATGTGAGGAGTGGTTCTGCTCTTTGTAACCGGACCTCCCTGCTCTCCACAGTACTTTGCCTCAGTGATCAGCAGCTTGCTGGCGGTGGCCTGGATCGGACAGCAGGTGCACAACCTGTTCCTCACCTACCTGATAGGTGAGTATACCACAACATGCAGTAATTGTACTGTGCGAGTCCTCCTGAGTCAGCGTTCTCTGGATCGTCGTTATGAATGTGAATGATGGAATGACGAAGAGCTTCTGTCAAAGCAGAGGCGTTAGTCTTTGACAGGTGAGGAGCTAGAACAGTGTTCAACTACAATGTATTCCATCGTCTCTATTGAACATTTGAGAAGGAAAGGGTTAAATAAAAATAACTGGTTTTATATTTGAAGTCCTCAGATTATTATGTAATGAATGAGAAACGAAGTCCGTTGGTATGAGAGGCTTATCTGGAAAAGGAAGCTTTGATCACCCAAAGTCAGGAACTGCGTTTTGATCTTCTTCAGCTGCGTGTCCCTCAGTGGCTGCTGTGGTGCACTAGACACCTAAAACAGGAAGTCCGTTGTTTTTGGCAGCAGTTTCAAAATGACGTTGCTGGTCATCATTCTGCAGGTGAAGGGATTTTTAATGGCCGCTGTTGTCTCATGCATGTTGTAACTCTGTTTCCCCGTCACTTATCCTGTCAGTCTTTACTGTAGATTAAGATCAGAAAGGGAGGAAACTTGAAATGAGTGTCTCTGGGGACCAGCCCTCCCGTCGGCTGCACAGCGGTGCCTCAGGTGAATGTCAGTTGGTGGATCGGCAGCTCTGTAAGGCTGCAGGAGCCGATCATCACTTGCATAAGCTGAAACATCGACGATTCATCCGACTGTGAAACAACAAAGCAAGTTGCTCTTGAGGCCTTCTGTTGGGCCAAGGAGGTACCAAGTGGTTAGATTACGTAAATAACAAATGAATGGTAATTTACAAAGCTAGTTATTTCTATATCTAAATGAATTCCTATAGTTTCAGTGACCGGTTACGTTTTGAATATCACGTCATCAGAGACGAGCGTGTTTTCACTGTTTGCTCGCTCACGTTCCCTCGGATGCAGTGACGCACAACTGTTTTATTAAACATGACCCTGAATACATTAAATATGGATTCATAACAGCAGGTAGTGATGGTGAGAGCAAGCAGAATATGTATTCTGGTCATTGCAGCTGACTGGCCCAGTTTATTTTCTATCTCTTTTGTAATGTCTCATTTATTTTAGAAGGTGGTCCTGACTTTTTTTTTTTTAACAATCAGATGTTGCAAAGCCCCCCTGTTGTGTGATCTATGATCTCAGTGTCACCAACCACTACCTGCTCTGGGATCAAATGTGATCAAAGCGAATTTACTATTTGAATTGATACTTTGGTAATTACAGCTTTAAAATGTTCTTATTGGAACTATCTACTGTTTGAGTTTGTTTACCAGCCATCTAATCGGGTCAATACAATAACATGACATGTACCCGACCGAGTGTACCTTTTTAAATAAATGGCCTTGTGGTCGGACCACATGGTTTAAAAACCCAACGTTTGTTTCTTCTTGTGCAGTGAGCTTCCTGCTGCTGTTGCCGGGCCTCAACCAGCATGGCGTCATCACGAAGTACGCCTCCATGGCCAAGAGGGAGATCAACAAACTGCTCAAACAGAAGGAGAAGAAGAACGAGTAGACGGACGTGTGGAGCTGAGTCTCTGACCAGACCAACTATGACAGAAAATGGAAGGTGGAAGGAAGTTGTTTGAAAAAAAGAGGGGGGGGGGGGGGGG